TAATTTAACTGTTCATTTCTTGTATTATATATTTATCTGTATATGATTTAACAGTTCATTTCTTGTTATATATCTAACTATCTTTATAAATAAATATATTTCATTATCAGCAATTTGGTTTTATCTCTAGAGAACCCTGTCTAACACAATCACATAGCAGGAAGAAATAAATACTCAACAGTTACAAAGTCCTCATTTCTCCAACTGGTCACATGATCAAAGTAGATAATTCAGTCCTATCTACTACCACCCATTCTGTATTTCCTTTGTGTTCTACAAGTACCTCAGCTAGTTCTACTTCCTTACTATGGAGTGACCCAAATGTTCATTGTTGAGGTGTCTTTGTCATTGTAAAATTGTACTTTTCCATTCCATCACTTGTCAGTTTGTTATACTCTGCTGTGGAAGTGGTTTGTTGGTAGAAGCTATGTCACCAGTATTTCAAACACCAGTAGAGCCATTTAAAGGTTTCAACAGAGCTTCTAGAATAAGAACAGACTAGAAAGAAGGATTAGACTCCCCACTTCTAAGGGGTTAACTACTGAAAACCTTGGGAATAACAGTAGAATATTGTCAGATATTGTGCTGGAAGGTGAAACCCTCAGAGCTTCAGAAGAATATGTCTGTATTTTGAAGTACATTGCTGTCTATGATAGGATAATATATATCTAGTGAATACAACTATAACTCAGATTTATTCATCAACCACTCAAGCTAGTGATAAAGGATTTTACCAACTCTTCAGTCTGAAATTAACTATGCATGAATAGATGGTTATTGGTGATTGGAATGAGACAGTTGATCGCAGGAAGGAATGGCAGTTGGAAAATAGTCTTGATAATAGAAATGAAGCTAATAAAGGCACATAGGTGTTTGCAAGACTAAATATTTCTTCATTGCAAGTACATTTTCCAACAACGGAGACTACACATGGACTTTACCTGATGGCTTACACAGGAACCACATTGACTATAGAAAGAGGTAATAGAGAAGCTGAATATCAGAAGGCAAAACTAGGCCAGAGGCTGAGCGTGGAACAAACTATTACTTCCTTATATGTAACTTCAAGAAAAAGCAAACATGAGAGAGAAAATATGAATTTTAGTATCCCAACTGAATTTCGAGAACAGATTTGACATATTGAGCACTAATAGCAGACCTGATGAGCTGTGGGATAACATCAAGAATATCTTACATGAAGAAAGTAAAATGCCCTTAAAAAGAGAGGAAAAGATAAAGTGGATGTCAAAAGAGACTGAAATCCTTGCTCTTAAATGTAGAGTGACTAAATAGAAAAATTGATGAAGTAAAAGTGCTAAACAGAAAATTTAAAGGGCATTTCAGGATGCACACCTTCCTGATATGGTTGCTGAAGAAAAAGGTGAACATAAGCAAATGTGAAGAAAGATGATGGTGCCCGGCTACCAAAGCATATAGCGCCGGGGGTCTTAAAGGCTTGAAGATAAATAAGCGGCCATCTAGCTGAGAAACATCAAAGCCCAAATGGAAGAAGCACACCAGCCTGTGTGACCACGAGGTGTAGAAGGGATCAGTTATCAGACCTCAAAGAACTGAAAATCTTATCAGTGGGT